TGAGTGTTATAAAGTATTGCAAGAGGCCTATACTGACAATTTTCTATCTCGTGCACGTGTTTTTGAGTGGTGTAAGCATTTCCGTGAGGGCCAAAAGAGTACTGAAGATGACCAGCGTCCAGGTAGCCCTGTCACTGTTTCAACTCCGGAAACAGTGACCAAAATCAACCAAATTGTGCGTGCAGATCATCGAATGAGCATCCAAATGGTTTCTGAAGCTGTAAACGCTGATAAAAAAACGGTTAGAAAAATTTTACACGAGGAATTACACATGACAAAAGTCTGTGCGAAGTTGGTGCCAAAAAATCTGACTCCTGACCAAAAGCTCTTGCGTCAACCGGTCTGCTCAGATTTCCTTGAAAGGTTAAAAGAAGATCCCGGACTGATGAAAAATATTATTACTTGCGACGAAACGTGGATTTTTCAATACGATGTTGGAACAAAGCGGCAATCGATGCATAGGGAGACACTTGAATCGCCCAGAATCAAAAGAGTAAGGATGTCCAAATCAAAATTTAAGGCAATGTTGATTGTTTTTTTTTTTTGTTGACATAAACGGTATCGTGATGACTGAATGGGTTCCAGAGGATCAGACTGTCAATCAGGCTTACTATTTGTTAGTTTTGGCAACACTGCGAGAACGAGTTATCTGCTATATTTATCTAACACGCTCTTTCGGTTTTGTTTGCATTTGTCTATTGACTGGTGAGCATTTCAGCATAACATATAGAGTTCAATGTTACGGACTATGATAATAGTAGATGTTTAGAATCTATCCCGTACAGTAAGTCGACGGGTAGTAGACGCACGGAAAGAGAGGACAAGGGCAACAGACGTATAACTTAACTGCTAAAAATAATAAACACAAGTTCAAATAGTTATAGAAATAATGATATTACGTATACGAACAATTACAATAAAGAACAGAAATAGTTTAGAGAAAAGTAACAAAAGAAGAATGGGTACCCATGCTGTACATACTATACATATAAATAATAATATAAGCAGTAAATAACAAGATATAAACTAGACTAACAACAATAAAGTAAAGTAATACTAAATAGAAAAACAAGCGAATATTATTATATAAATACCCGACTCAGTTGAGACCGGAAACAAGCATTATGATTGTCTGCGTTGCACTAAGAAACAAAATATATCGTGCCGGTAGTAGAACGCACACGCGATCCAATAGATATAATAAATATATATAAAGAAGAATAATAAACATGTACAACGCGCCGGTAAATGTACGCACACGCGAAGTCACGTTAAAGAAGAATAATAAAAATGTACAACGCGCCGATAAATGTACGCACACGCGAGTAATTAAACTAAGTAAAAGAAATGGTGAATAAAAAAATACGCTCATGTGCTCACATGTTCGCACATACAATAACAAAACACCAAGAAAAAATAAGTACGTATAACGCGCCGGTATACGAAAGCACACGCGAATTTTTCGTCTTAGATAACCACAAAAAATCAAGGCGGAAAACATGTTCATTACCTTCACCCTACCATACACGTACGAACCGATATCACGCTCGCGCAATGATAACGTGGAGGGAAAAATAATCGGCGCGAAAAATACACAGTACACTATACCATTGATTAAATATACATATGTATATTTATATACATTTATATATATACTAGCTGAACTCGTGCACTTCGTAGCCCATATATAGAATTCGCCCGTGTGCAGTTATTGCTTTCTCTAAATGCAATTCTTAAATCAGATGTTTATTATTTACCTTCTTTCTTTTTTTGATCCTCTAGCAACAAACGAATATAATACTATAAACGACGTAAATTTTCAAACGAAAATAATAGCACGTAGGTTGTACAGTTAAAATTAGTTTTATAATAACTAATAGCCGACTCCTGTGCGCTTCGCAGCACCAACACAAAAATGCAATAAAAATCATTTATTTTTTCTAAATTCTTTATTATTAATCCAACACATTTGTGTAAACAATATTCTTTGTTTGTCCATTTGGGGCATACACAAATAAACAATTTGGAGTGCCAACTCTTGAACAGGTCACGTATAATTGCCCGTGCGAAAAACACGGTTCCTCCAAATCCAAACCGCATACTTGGAGCGTTTGTCCTTGTGCCTTATTGATGGACATAGCGAATGATAGGCGCACGGGGAATTGCAACCGTTTGAATTCAAATGGCATGTCTGTTGGTATCAGAGGAATACGTGGGATGAGTACAAATTCCCCCTTCGCTTTTCCAGTCAATATTGTGGCTTCGATTGAATTCGGCATCAATCTTTTTACAGCTAACCTTGTGCCGTTGCACAGTTTTGGTGCATTCAAATTCCGTAGTAAAATAATTGATGAGCCGACCTTCAAATTCAAGAAATGCGGCGGTATACCGGGTGGTTCTAACGAATTCAAAAA